AGATTTTTGAGTTCTTTGTATATTCTGGATAATAGTCCTTTGTCTGAGGAGCAGCTGGCCATCCCTCTGCTGGGTATCTTTTCAAAAGAATTAAAAGAATCATATCACAGTGATATATGTGCACCCATGTTTATAGCAGCACAGTTTGTAATAGCTAAATCTTGGAAACAGCCCATTTGCAAATCAGTTGGAGACTGGATAAAGAAGATGTGTTCTTTCTATAAAATGCAATACTACTCAGCCACAAAGAATGAGAAATTAGATTCTTTCATAGGAAAATGGATGCATATTGAGGATATACTCAAGTGAAATAAATAAGTCTCATATGTGTAAATACTGAATAGTTTTTCTGGTGTGAAAAACTATAATTGTACATAAGATCATAATGGTATAACTGACAATGTGAAATAGGAAGAAAAGGGCTAAAGGGAAGGGTAGCAGAAAGAAAATAAGGGAAAAGAAAAAATGAAAATAAATTATTTGTAAATAGGGAAGGGAGGAGGGGGTGAAGGGAGGGCAGGGACAAGGGGAAAAAATGAAAACCAAGACCTGTCATGTAAAGGTACAAGATCCCAATGATGAATGTAGCTGTACTATATACCTAAAATGTACCAATAAACTCAATGAGAAAAGCATAAAAATAAAATAAAATTTAAAAAAAGAAGAAGAAAGTGATGAGAGAGGATGTCAGAAAGCAAGGGAAGTAAATAGGAGATAAGAGGCAAAGCACATCACTTCACCTGCAATGAAGGTAAACTCCGGAGATGGTAAACAATCTAGGTTTACTGTAAAGTACCTTTGAGAGAGGAATGGAGTACATGGACCTCAGTTTTACAACATGAAGGCTTTAGGAATAACTGAAGTTAGTATCACTCTACAGATCTAGACTCATTACATACTATCCAGCAGAGGTAAGGAGCATACCTGAATCTATCTGACCCTTCAGATACACTTAAAATATCATACCCTGACATTTTGGGGTGAAAATGACTCACAGCAGTATATGCACTTCCCATTTATTGTGGCCTTTTGTTTTGATGGTGAAACAAGAGAATAAGTTGTCAAGAACATAGCTATTAAAAAAAACACCATATGTTGGAAAAACTGTATTTCAACCTGCCACAGATTAAAACTGGATCCTTATCTTTCACCATGCACTAAATTAAAATCCAAATGGATTAAAGATCTCAATATTAAAATAGAAACATTAAACTTGCTGGAAGGTAAGTTAGGCAGAACTCTGGAAGGCATTGGCATAGGAAAAGACTTTATGAACAAATCCTCAGCAGCACGGGAACTAGCAGATAGAATCACCAACTGGGATCTCATCTTATTAAAAAGCTCCTGTACTGCAGAAGAAACCATCAGCAGAACTAAGGAACAACCTACAATTTGGGAAAAAAATTTTACCAGCTGTTCCTCAGACAAAGGACTATTATCAAGAATATATAAAGAACTCAAAACAATCAGCCCCCCCCCAAATATAAAGACCTGATTCAAAAAAGGGCATCAGAAATGAACAGACATTTCTCAGGCAAAGATGTAAAAGCAGAAAGTAAATATATGAAAAAATGTTCCACATCACTGGTCATTCAAGAGATGCAGATGAAAACAACCCTGAAATTCCACCTCACCCCACAAAGAATGGCTGCTATCAAGAAATCACACAATAACAAATGTTGGCGGGGTTGTGAGGAGAAAGGAACCCTTCTCCATTGTTGGTGGGAGTGCAGACTGGTGCAACCACTATGGAAATCAATATGAGATACCTCAAAGAGCTTGGACTGGAGGTTCCATTTGACCCAGCCATCCCTCTGCTGGGTACCTTTCCAAAAGAACTAAAAGAAACATATCACAGAGAAGTATGCACACCTATGTTTATAGTGGCACAGTGTGTAATAGCTAAAGCTTGGAAACAGCCCATTTTCCCATCAGTTGGGAACTGAATAAAGAAGATGTGGTTTTTATATAAAATGAAATATTACTCAGCCATAAAGAATGAGAAAATAGATTCATTCATAGGAAAATGGATACATATTGAAGATATACTCCTAAGTGAAATAAATAAGGCACACATGTGTAAATACCAAATAGTTTCTCTGGTGTGAATAATCTGCAATGATACAGAAGATCCTAATAAGATTACTGACATTGAGAAATGGGAAGAAAGGAGCTAAAGGTGTAGGGAAGGTGTGATGGGTAGGGGAAGGGTAATAAGGGAAAAGAAAAAAATGTGAGATAATGAAAAGATGGAAATAAAGTGTTTGTAAATGGGGAGGGGAGGAGGGGGTGAAGGGAGGACAGGGACAAGGGGAAAAAATGAGAACCAAGACTTGTTATGTAAAGGTACAAGATCTCCATAATGAATGTAACTGCACTGTATCCCTAAATTGTACCAATAAACTCAATTAAAGCTGAAAAAGAAACCAAAAACAACAACAACAGCAACAAAAACCACCATAGACAGTTGGAAAAAGAACAGAAAAAAAATCCAAGTTATAGCCTGAAACATACTAACATTTCCTAATATCTCACAATGGATCCATATATTAGAAGCAATTTCTATTTTCAGTTTTATTTCCTCCTGGCATAACTAAACTCCATTATTTTATTACTTTGTGTATAATGATGTGCCGCCTCATAATTTCCCAAGTTCATCCTTTTTCAAGCTTTAAAGGGAAGACCTGCCATTCCAGCATTCCATTATGTAGCAAACAGGTTTATAATTCTCTATTCAAACTCTTCTTCTATATAATTGGGACTTTTAATGGAAATCTGTTTGCATCTGATGATATTTCAGGAGCCACAAACTACAAATGACACTAAAGCTTTTTCCAATAGGGTCTGGGGTTTCAGATTTTAAAGTCCCACTCTTCTTTTACAATTATAGGATTCAATTTTACTTCTACACTGAGGTTTATATTGGACAAAATTTCAGAAATAATTTCCCTATGTTTAGGAGCCATCATCTATCTTCCCTGATTTTACAGAAGTCATACACAAAATTATGGGTTTCTAGGATATGTGACAATAGGAATTGGCTTTCCTTTGCTATTATTTCATGATCTAAAGACATCTGCAACCACAGCACATCTGAATTTAGTTTTTAACACAATGGATATATTTCCTTCTCTCTCAGCTCTTTGGTTTTGTTGGGTGACAAAAAATATTGCCATAGCACTATCCCAGAAGAAAATAGAAACTATAAGTCTTGAACTTGATTGAGCCTGTAGAAACGTTTTCTTGGGATGTTATCTTTTCAAATGAGGATAACCGGTTGAACTTCTCAGAAATATGGTTAACCCTTTGTCACAAGCTGCCCCTGTATGTTCACTGTAAAAACCCAGTTCAATTTCTTCTAGCACTCCATATGGCAAAGTGCAACATTATATGTTGCTCTCTTTACAATGATTTTCCAGAGAAAAACTAAAGTGGTGGCTGAAAAAATTTACTAGTCAAGTATTAATTAGAATCTGGCTTTTAGATCTGGTTTACACACACACACACACACACACACACACACGCACGCACGCACACACTCAGCTGTATGACTGAATTATTTGATGTTAAGCTAGGAATCTTAGAAAGACTGGTGTTGTTTTGGTTGACATAATTCTTATTTATAGGTATTTGTATGCATATTATAGGATGTCCCCCAGCATCCTAAATTCTACCCATGAGATACCAGTAACATTCTACTCTCAATCCTTGAAACAACAAAGAGAATGTTTCCAGGCATTTGCTCTGGCATGCAAAATCTTTTTAAAATCCATAATCTTCCTGAGTTTACACATCAACAAACTATCATTAATGAGATACTGTTGGTTTGTGTAGACGCGTTTGAAATTGGTAATCTGCTATATGAATACAGAATATTATTATTATTATTATCATAATTATTATTATTATTTTGCTACCAGGGATTTAACTCAGAATCTTGTGCTCGTGGGGCAGGCGACAGAACCACTGAGCTACATCCCCAGCCCAAGAGTATTACTTTAAAGATACAACTATTTGTTCACATAGTGAATCTTCATGTGTGACAAAGATTTGTTAGGTCTCTGCTGGCAGAGCATGCTGAAGGTCTAAAGGACCCCTAGAGGACAAATGTATCCCATCTCCAACTGAAAAATTAAGAGTTAAGAATTTACAGGCGCATGTATGTTTTAAAACCTGAGTTTTGAATGTCAACAGGAGATTTGATCCAAATTAACATGGAGGTTTATTCTGGATTTGAAGGTCCTGTGAAAAAAAGAAAATCAGAGGGGATGAATCCTTCTAGGATACTAAATATCCTTTATCTAGAAGCTTATTCATATCTAGTCATTCAAATAAAATTAATTTGCCTTAAAACTGATTAAGTTCTGTGAAGAATGTGTATACTGTAGATGTGGCCCTGGGAACAAACTGCTCAGCATGAAGCTTTAGATCAATTCTAGATATTCGCTTGCAAAGACAATCTTTTACTTCTAAGAAAAGTGACAGGGGTTGGTAGGCATGACTTTGGAGAAGAGAGCTGAGAGGAAGGATGGCTCAGATGATCCATTCAAGATCAAAGTGTTATAGTTAAATGGACAAATAAATGTGAAGCAACTCCATGCACAGCAGAAGTAAATACCGCAGTGTCGGCAGAAACCAAGAATTCCTCTTCTGGGTGAAATTTAGAGGATACTGACTGTAGTTCTTATACATTTTGTTGGTATCTAACTTCAAACACTCCCAGAAAAATCTTAGAACATTGAAGCTTCCTGGAGTGTTCTACAATCATTCTATTTTTAAAATATGATGAACAAAATTATCTATGTGAAATGAGACTCTTTACACTTAATTTTGTTCTTTTATTATTTCTTCCACACAAAAAAAGGAAGATTACTGAATGCAATTGTTAGATGCAATTGTTTCTTTGTGGAAGTCAATTTTGCATAATGCCAAACAAACAAATGCTTACAATAGATTCAGAAACACAAACAAAAATGAGTTAGGAGAAAAGGTGAGAAGAGTTTAAAATGAATATCATGTTGCTGCTAGTACCACTTTAAGTAGAACAAAAACAAGCTGTAGTATTTGAAAATTGAGGGCACAAAAGTGAAGAAGATAGACTGGAAAAAGATGATTCAGCTTTGAGGTCGACTTAACTCCCATAAATGGGATATTAACAAAGCCAAAGATTTGGAGCTATGACAAAAATATCTAAAAACTTGGAAGATAGTTTTTCTTCACTTTAATCCTGTGCTAGGCTTCTCAAGAAATATTTACATACCTGCTACAGTGACTAAGATAAATAAATGCACAATTATAGTGTATAGTTTTAAACAACTTTAGTTTCCTTTGATTGACAACATTGGAGAAGAAATAGAATATTACTTTAGTACTCTAGAATGTCTGGCCTTTTAAATTTTGGCAGATAAGGAAACTTTCCATGGACTAAGAGATATTTTGCTCTTGTGTTTAAATCTGTAATAAAATGTTGGGGACACACTAATTATAAACATTTTATATATTGTGTGCATATGTGCTCTTCTCTAAGCCCATTTATTTCCCATTAATGCTAATCTTGTTAATATCCACTCAGAGAGCAAAAGAATACACATAAAAAACTGCTGATTTATTTGCTTGATTTAAATGGGGGATGGGCAGGAACAGACAGAAGAAAAGGAAAAGTAGCCATTTTACCCACAACTGCATTTTTTGAATATTTCCCAAATATTAATAAGCATTAAATTATAAATGGTGTGAATAGGAAATTGGAAAAATAAAGTGACAAAGTGATAATCCTCCACCCATGAAAAACTAAGGGTATGGCAAATAAGTTGTCATTTGGCAGTTGTTTAGTACTAGCTACCTACCAGATTAGACCTGAACCGTTAAAAGAAAAAGTAGATTTTCTTTCTTCAAAACAAGGTAAAGAAAAAATGAATTTCATACTGGTAAGATCTAACTGAAGTGGGGTTTTTCTTTTTAAAAAATATGGCAGTCAAATCAACAAACAGGTAAGTCACACTCCTAGCACATCTTACCCTGTTTCTAGTGTGGCTGTCCATCTTGCCCTGGATACAAGAATCCAGCAGCGTTTCTCAAGCTGAATCGAACACCAGTCAATCAAATCTCCATATCTCTAGGTACTGTAACCATCAAGAGCTTCTGCCAGATCTTAGTGATTTCCATAAACACAGTTATGTAATAAAACTGGATGCCACAGGCTAGTTTGGAACTCAGAAAGCAATTAAAAGAAAAAAAAAATCCTTTGTCCTGTTTCAGATCATCCTGAAACTAGCTAGTGAAGATGCAATTGATTTACTTCCCTTTGTACCTTAGAAAAAGACATGAAATAGACAAATGGAAGATGGGTTTTTGTCAGGATGCACCATCTAGCCTTAAAATGAGTCATTTAATCTCCCTGAGTCTGTTTTCCTTATCTGCAAAACCGGAATAATAGTCTCTACATATAGTATTAGAGTTTTCCACCACATGTAGAATAAGAATCACAAAATGTATACGAACACAGCATGAAAACTTTGAGGAGGTGTGGTCACGCACAGCCTTATTAGTTGGGAAATGATTAATGAAAAACTGGAACAGGAAAAAAAGGAGAAAAACATAAAGGACAGATACCGATTTTGTCAGGCTCTTATTTTTCTAAGAAATGTTTACCATCAGGATTTTCTTAAAAATGTTAATGGCAACTGATGTTGACACATTGCACCTGGGTATACAGAACATAAAACTGAAAATTGAAATAATTTAGATGAGAGGAGTTTTCCTTTCCTGTTTACCCACATGCGTGGCGTCATTTATACATCGAGAAGGGTGGAGGCGAGAACATTCATTGAAAAATACTGAAACAAGTATTTTTCAGAACAAATATTAAACTGCTTTTTCTCTACCGATTGGTAAAAAAATATATTATATTTTTATATTTTTTTCTTTTTAAATTATATTTTGTCATCCATCCCAGCCAAAGTCGTGCCCGGTCATCTGGTAGAACTTGAGGTTGAAGGGCCGGTAGAACTCGCGCAGTCTCTGCACCACCTCGCGGTCGATCTCGGGGTGGGTCCTGCCCTTGGTTTTGCCCAGGCAGTGGGGCTTGCTGCTGCCCTCGGCCTTCTTCAGGCAGGGGAAGCCCTTGGTCTTGTTGAAGTAGAAGTGCTTGTCGGTGATGATGCGCTTGAGGCCCAGGAAGTCCTGCACGCGGCCCAGCTCGCCGGCCGGGTCGCTGATGAGCCGCTCGCCGCTCACGAAGAGCATCTGGCCCACGGGGAAGTGGCGCAGCCAGTGCTCCAGGTGCTTGGCGTAGATGCCGATCTGGATGGCGCTCCACGACGTGTCGATCAGGCCGGTGCTCCTGTTTTTGAACGTCAAGCTCTCGAAGGTGGGGATGTCGGGCCGCTTGGAGAGCGTCTGCGTGTAGTCCGAGATGGCCCTGGTCACCGGGTCCCGCACCACCACGATGAGCTTGGTGTCCTTGGACATGGCCGAGATGCGCGCGGGCGCCTCCCGCGTGACGAAGTAGCTGGGCGTCTTCTCCATGGTGATCTGCCCCTCCAGGGTCCTCGGCATCAGGTCCCTGAGAAAGAAGAGAGGATGTTAGAATCCGAAGAATGAGCGGTTGGCCCTGACGTCTCTAGAGAGCTCTCTTCGAGCTCCAAGGAAAGGCAGCCCTCTGTGCCCTGCGGAGCCAGACTTCGCTTGCTGTTCCAGCTCTCCAAGTAGCTGGGCGTCTTCTCCATGGTGATCTGCCCCTCCAGGGTCCTCGGCATCAGGTCCCTGAGAAAGAAGAGAGGATGTTAGAATCCGAAGAATGAGCGGTTGGCCCTGACGTCTCTAGAGAGCTCTCTTCGAGCTCCAAGGAAAGGCAGCCCTCTGTGCCCTGCGGAGCCAGACTTCGCTTGCTGTTCCAGCTCTCCTACTAGGTTTTCTCCTGTACAGAAAGGTAACAGGGCCTTTTTCGTAGGTGATGTCTTGGTTAGTTGATATACCATGCAGAGAATAAATGCTACGTAAATTTATTTTTACCATTACCAATAATTTACAATGCATAAGAATATAACTTGGTCAAATCCTTTTGTTGACTCAGAGTATTATCATAAATACAGTTATATTGGCACGAAATGGTATTAAATATCCAGTGCCTTTCCTGTTCACATCTTGTTCTAAAGAAAAGAATTCAATAACTTCTCTCCAAGATGGTTTTCTTAAACATAAAGCAACTACATTTAGCATAAAATCATAATGTACAGTTGTCCTTCTTATCCAAGACCTCACTTTCCCCAGTTTCAGTTGCTTGTTTCCAGCTATGATCCAAAACTATTAAACAGAAAACATCAGAAGCAATTTATAAGTTTTAAATCAGGTACCAGTTTGAGTAGTGTCATGAAATTTTGCACCATCCTACTCTATCCTGCCTAGGATATGAATCATCCTTTGTGCAGTGTTTTTACCCTGTATGTGTAACTCACCTATGGATTTGTCATTTAGTAACCAACGTGGTTATTAGACCCGCTGTCACAGCATCACGGTGATTATGTTCAAGTAGCTCCTGTTTTATTTCATAATGGCCTCTAAATGCAAAAGTAGTGGGGCAAAGGAGACAACAAGGCATAAAACGTGGCAGGACCTATTAACTGTGAGTAGGTGGCAAAGCTGCAGGGAATATGGGGGAAAAGCTACATACATGATGTCTAGGGTGCAGCATTATCCTTAGATTCACACATTTTACTAGTGGTATTGTCATACATTTCCCTCTGGATGCCAAGGTGGTGATGGGGACCATTGCATTATCTTCATAATCCCCGAAGAGTGTTGTTTGTGACTAACAAGACTTATTAAATAACTCATCTTTTATCTAATGATTTGAAATGCCATCATTATCACATAGTAAATGTCTTGGCCCCTTTCCACATAGGCTCAATTGCAAGTCATTATCCTGTTGTAATATTTATGCCAAAGTCCAGTTCTCTATTGCTAAACATGTTCTTGATTGCTCTTGTCTATTTATTCTTCTTAATGAATGGTAGAATCACTTTGTCATGTTAAAAAACTGAAATCCCACTGGATAAAGCAGATATTGCTGATTGGTTCAAAGATACTTTCCAGCTGAGAATTGATAGATTTCTGCACCATCGAAAGTATGAGCAAGGGAGATAAAAACAGTCTGAGTATGCTACCATTAAATATACTATGTGAAATATGAATACACATATATATTCATTTCACAATAGAGCATTGCCTTTCTAATTCTAAGTTTCACAAGAACTAGCTTGTTGATCCAATCAGTGATAGCCTAAATAAATATTTGGAATTTATTGCCATGACTAAATACATTTTGTCCTTTGATATATTGATAAGAAAAATCAAATATAAATATCCTTATATAGGATTTACTTTCATTCCTGGAATAAATTCCATTTCAAGATGATAAACTGTTCTTTTGATATAATATTAGATTAATCTGTCATTATTTTGTCTTAGAGTTTTAATCCATTCATTAATGAGATTTTTCTGTACTTTTCTTCTGTTCAGTACCTTAATGATTTGTTTAGTATGGTTATTTCACAAATAAAATGGGTTGAGGCATCTCATATTTTTCCGTATCCTAGAGAATGAAAAAAAAATTTCTCTTTCCTTTGATGGAAATTAACTATAAAGCCATTTGGTCCTGACGTTTTTGAATGAGGGTAGGGAGGAAGTATGATTATAAATATCTTTTCTGTTTCTTATATAGATATGAATCTTTTGCTACCCTCTGCTTTGTCTGTGTCAACTCTGGATATTAATATTTTCCTTAAATTTTTCCATTATTAAGTATAATTATATCCTTAATCACAGTTTTGTGCTTTGTGGCTTCTTGGTTACCTTACATTTCTAAACCACTGATTTGCAGTTTAGCATTTTTATTGCCTCCTTTTATTTATTGTTTTAAGTTGTGCTTTATATTATCCCTCAGATTTATTTAATTAAATGCTTACTTCACTTATTTTCATCTTTCTTTGTAAGTAGTAAAACAATATTGAAGTTATTATTTTCCCTCTAAGGATAGATTTATTCTCACTTCATTAAGTTTTAACCTGGACTCTTTTCATTATCATAATGTTGTCAATACCTAGTAATTACATTTTGATGTTTTATCTTTTGACTAAGGCATTATTGAGGGTTGTACTTATTTTTAACTTTGATTGTTAATTAGTTGTTCTGATAACTTTATAATTAATTTCTATCTTATGTTTATAATAAAAGTACACATTTTACATTGTCTGAGTTTGCTTCTTTGTATGCCTTACAATTTTGCTCCACTTACACTATTTTCTAACTATACACTATAGAAACATTAAAGTAGAGAATATTGTAAAATTGATACTACATATCTCATATTCAGCTTCAAAAATTAAAAACTGATGGTCAATTTTATTTGTAGATACCCTCAATTTTATTCCCCATCACACCAACTGGTTTATTATAGTGTCAATCACAGACATCGTGTCAGTTGATTATAAATAGTCTCATTTCCATTTGTGTTATACTGGACAAATTCCTCAACTTTTGTAGCAGTTTGTTACTAACATTCCTTTAGTTTTAGTGATTTGGGTTTTCTTTTATTGTCACTTTCTTTGATAGAGTGTGTATCATTTTTTTTGCTGAAGGTAGAGTAATACTTAGATATTTGACATGTTACTTTTTTAAAAAATTAAGAGAATTTACAATTTAGTTTTCAAAATAACTGGTAACATCCCTTAGTATCCACTCATTGACCACATAGTGATTCACACAGGGTATGAATAAACCATGCTTAGAATTCAGGAGAAGATGCATATTATCCTTTATAGCCTACGCAAAGCCAGTCCCCCCCCCCCGTGACTACCTTTGTAGAACTGAGAATTTGGCCAGACCAAGCTTTCTGGAAGCTTAGGTTATCCTCATAAGAGATAAACCAAGAAATGGTTGGAATTTCCCAATGAAAGAAATTTGATCAAATATGTGGAAAAGTTTCAGACTTTAAAAGCAAACATCAAATACATTTACATGATAAGATAAGAAAGAGTATTTGTCCATTAAAAACAACAGTCAGCATTCCTGTCTCCTTTCCTATAATCTTTGACTTTTAACTATTTTACTTTGAATTTTGTCCAATAGCTAAACTAGAGATAAAAGACTTCATCCAGGAACTCCTGACTATTGTTTCTGGTACGGGAGGAAAGGTCTATAACACCTTTTCACAGAGATTGAAGTTATAGATTGTGATGGGCCAGAGGAACACTAAAAAGATCTTTGGTGAGGGGCATATTCCAAATTATCCCAATAGAGTAGAGAGGAGAGCTATACAAAATAAGATTTTGAAGATGAAACAGCAAAAACTAGGATTTTAAAAGAAAAGCATATTAATTGTGTGCCATCATCGGCAGGACAAGGAAAAGTGACCAGTTAGCATGAGGTTGAGAAAGAAGTTAGGCTTAGTTATGAGCTGCCTGCAAGCCACTTTTTGCACAAAGAAACAATAATTTAAATCCTAAATAAACTTAAGGGTAAAGAATAGTTACTTCATAAAAGGAATAATACTATAATTCTTTAAATCACAGCATCCTTTCAGTTTTTTATTTCATTTTCTTACTGCAGTTTGAATTTTAAAATTCAAAAAGTGGGCCAGGGATTTAGTTCAGTAGTTCTGCCACCTGCTTCGCAAACCTGCCTCACAAGCACAAGGTCCTGAGTTTGATCCCCGGTACCAAAAAAATAAAGTTCAAAAAGAAGCTCCCATCTTTCACCTAAAACAAAATGCACAGGCAAATTGGCACACATTTCAAGTGTCCAGGAGGCCTTGCAAATTACTCACCTGGATAATGCACATGCTGTGATTCTATTCTGTGTACGGGTGTGGGTCTGGGAAGGGCAGGAAAATATCTATTCCAGTAGTAAGAAAGGTTGAAGAAGTACCAGTGAGTTTATGTGAGCACAAAGGTGTATGTGATGAGAAGACATATGAGGTTTCCCTAAAGACAGAGCATTGAGAGTAGGGGGGTGATTCACTTGGATAGGAGGGGAGGTCAGTTCTTGGAGAACTTAATTTTCAGGCTAAATAATACAAAACAATTCCAATTTGACCTCTCAAGTATGAACATGTTTTGGAGACTGTATATAGTAGTTATGGGTGTGCAGAGTGATTCAGATGCCAAAGCTATGAGGAGAAATGAGAACAGCTTAGTTGATTGTCCTAAGGAAAACAATGATTGGAAGGAATTTTAAAAGAAAAATAATGATTATTACCAATTGGGTTATGTGCATTTCTTTTTTTTTTCCTCCAAAGAAAGCAACAAAAATTCATAATACAGTAGTCAAAAGATAGAAGTAACCCAAGTGCCTATCAAGGGATGAACAAATGAATTGCCAATGCAATATTATTCAGTTATAACAAAGAAAGGAATTCTGTCACATGCTCCAGTGTGGATAAGCCTTGGGGACATTACATGAAGTGAAATAAGCCAATCACAAAAGAATAAATACTTCCTAGTTCCACTTTTATGAAGTACTTAGAGTAGTCAAATTTAGAGACAAAAAGTACACGGTGGTGCCCAGTATCATAGACACTTGAGTTAATTAGATATGTTGTAGGCAGTTAGGCAGAACAGATTCCTTGAGGGA